CTCACATCAGCTGTAAACTCTTTTCACTACAAAACCATTCTTATGTTTTTAATTTCTTTTCATTACAAGAACCCACATACCAAAGGAACTAGCAGATCATGACAATTACTAAAACATTGATTTTCATGATGACGTTCTATCTATTCCAACAATTTCATGGAGTTCGATAATCACATTTGAACCGAAAGCACGATTCATCTAAGTTTTGTATTATGATATCTAGCAGTGATGACATCATAAATATGTCACGTTTCAAGTCTCAATACAAACAATGTGGTCTGTTATTTCGGGTATCTCATCCAGTAATTTCTTAAAAACAAAGAAGCAAGAATATTTCTGTAGAGATCTTAAAAGAACAATATCAAATCGAAAGGATTTTTTACGTAAATGCAATCAATGTGGAATCAAACTTTGTTTTTGCTTTCAAAGTAACGTGCAACACAATTATGGCACTGAGAAGAAAACATAGAAAACCATTTTTTTTTAATTTTGATAAGCTAACGAAATTGTTAGTAGATAAAAAAAAAAAAAAAAAGGCACATCAACATAAAAACTAGCTAGAGACTCTTATGTTATAAACTTAAAATCTTGTGCATAGTCTACAAAGGTGTAAACCCTAGCACGATTATCAGACTCTTTAAAACCTCGGATTCCAACTTTTCTGAGAGTGTTCTTTTCGGGATTGAAGTAGAAAACCAAAAAGGGTGTATAGTCCATGGATAAAATAATTTCACCAGCAGCGGTCACTCCAGCGACGGAAACATCGCGGTGACCGACCACGTTGGCCGAAAAATCGTAAATGTAGTAGGACCAATTTTGTCTCTCGGCATCCTCTAGAGTCCACAAAAACAAACGATTGACATTTAACAATTGCCTTCCAAAAATTGGAGCGTACCAATCCCAACGAATCACACCTAATTTACCCTTGTAATCTATTAGTTTACTACAGAAAGTAAATTGTGCGTCAAGAAACGTAAGCTTTTCAGACCTAACATTAAAGCAAGCTATCTTACTCACATCCCACCTGCTGGTTACGCTAGCTATGCCAGCTATGTAATACAAAACCCCATCGATGCATATCCCTCCACTTATAGAACAATAATGTGTAGGTAGGTTGATCTTCCTCCATGACAACACTTTTCCAGTTCCCAATGTCAGAATATGTTTCTCTGCATCAGAGATGGCCAGTACCTTGTACTGTTTCCCAATCGGATCATACCCTAATAAGCTTCTCGTATCGTCTTTCGTTTCCAGTTGAGGCAATCTTGCGTACTGTCCCGTGCTAGGGTTACATATCACCGGCGCTATATGATATATACCCTCCTTTGAGATCCGAGTTCTAGGGAAAACGACCAAGCCAGAGACAAGCCCAGAAATTTCTGGACACATGTCTACACTGAACTCTGTAAGAAAATCTGCTTCTACTACAGGAGAAGGCTTCTCATCTGGATTCTGAGACTGAGGCGACGAGAAGAAGCGCCAATGACGGTCATATGTGACGGCGAATAAGAGACGCGGCGGCCGACTAGAGGACTTGGTGAGGAGCAAGTCGGTGAACTCTTGACGGCTAAGTATCGACGCGGAGAACTTGGATGCGACACCAAACCTAGCTATTGACTTAGCAGACGACCTCGCTAGTACCTCGAGGATGATGTCAACCGGGAGGGGATCCGAGTTTTCTTCTCTCTCCATCGAGTTGGAAGAATTAATCATGTGTTTGGTACTTTGGTTCTATAAATTAGGGTTTTAACTAAGGGTAATCTCTCTCTCTCTCGCTTGAAAAATACAAGATCGAATGGAGTTAGGAAATTTTGAAAGCAAAATATGTAAACGAGTAGGGTTATGAATTGTTTAGGGATATATATGGGTTTTGGCACAAGACTTCTAAGAGCATGAGTAATGGTGAGTTCAGTAAAAAGCTTTTAAAATTTTTTTATTATTAAAAAAATTATTTTTTTTTCTGGAAAAAATCGATTTAAAAAAAAAAAATTGACGAACGATATTTTGACACGTCAGTGCAGAGTCGCTCTTCTAGTCGCTGTGCAGAGAGACGTTTCTGAGTACTGGTCTCGCCATGTCACTAAAACAATTTTTTTTCTTTTTTTTTTCCTTAGAGCTTCCCAAAAGCTTTTCATTACTCATGCTCTAAAACAAAAACATGATATATTAGCATATTATAAAAATTATATTATTTTTCTATGTAACTTGTGTTGATAAGAAATGCAAATTGTCTTTTTTTTAAAAAATATTTACTAATATTGTTTTCCTATCATTCTGAAATTATAGAACAAATGTAGTTTTTATAATTTGAGAATGAACAAAATATATTTATTTAGAATCAAAAATTTATATGCAAAGACGGTAAATAAACAATATGGTTTAAGAGAAGAAAAGAATAAAAACCCTTACACTATATCCAGATTTCAACAATCGTTTGCCTGAAATTTAAGGTATCAGATCAGTGCCATTACTACATTACAAGAAACAAAATTTTAATTTGGAAAGCAGTATCCATCCAAGCAGCGACCATCTTTAGTTGAAGATTCTATTCTAGCAATACAATCTGACTTCATGAAGATAGATTTCACATCAAAACCATTATATGGGCCTAATGGGCCTAACAAATCAATGGGTCATATTCAAATTCTACCCTAGACAGATAAAAACACACTAAACCATAAGAGGTCACGTTTCTCCACCGAAACTGGTCCAATGAGCCTAAGAGGAGGAAATGTTTCCTCAGCTTTCTTCTTCGTCCCATGTCACAATTACCATCTGATCAACGACCTTCTTCTCTCTTCAGCTCGCTCCAGATCAACTGCTAAAGGACTCCAGCTCCATGGCTACGCCGTCAAGTCAGGAATTTTCCTCATCCCTCTCATCGCCAACAACATCATCAATTTCTACTCCAAATCCCAGCTCCCACTCGATTCTCACCGAGCTTTCGAAGATACCCCGCAGAAGAGCGCGACGACTTGGAGCTCAATCATCTCTTGTTTCGCGCAGAACGAGCTTCCATGGATGTCCCTCGACTTCCTCAGGAAAATGATGGCGGGGAACCTCCGCCCGGATAATCATGTTCTCCCGTCGGCTACGAAGTCATGTGGGATTCTGAATCGCTGCGATATCGGTAGATCGGTTCACTGTCTCTCGACGAAGACCGCGTACGACGGTGATGTGTACGTGGGGAGCTCTCTGGTTGATATGTACGCGAAATGCGGAGAAATCGCTGACGCGAGGAACGTGTTCGACGAAATGCCTCACAGAAATGTCGTAACTTGGAGCGGGATGATTTATGGGTACGCGCAAATGGGTGAGAACGAGGAAGCTTTGTGGCTGTTCAAATCAGCGTTGCTAGAGAATCTCGCCGTCAACGATTTCTCTTTCTCGAGTGTCATCAGCGTCTGCGCGAATTCGACTCTTCTTGAGTTAGGAAGACAGATTCAGGGGCTCTGCATCAAGTCCAGCTTCGACTCTTCCAGCTTCGTGGGAAGCTCTCTAGTCTCTTTGTACTCCAAATGTGGTGTTCTCGAAGGAGCGTATCAAGCTTTCGACGAGACTCCAGTGAAGAATCTCGGGATCTGGAACGCGATGCTCAAGGCCTATGCGCAACATTCAGACGCTAGAGAAGTAATCGAATTGTTCAAACGGATGAAACGTTATGGGATGAAACCGAATTTCATAACTTTCTTGAACGTGCTCAACGCTTGTAGCCACGCGGGTTTGGTCGACGAAGGGAAGTACTACTTTGATCTGATGAAAGAATCAAGAATCGTGCCTACGGATAAGCATTACGCTTCTCTGGTTGATATGCTGGGACGAGCCGGTAAGCTACAAGAAGCGCTCGAAGTTATCAAGAACATGCCGATCGATCCGACGGAATCGGTCTGGGGAGCTTTGTTAACGGGCTGTACGATCCACAAGAACACAGAGCTCGCGGCGTTTGCGGCGGACAAGGTCTTCGAGTTAGGACCAGTGAGTTCCGGTATGCACATTTCGTTATCCAACGCTTACGCAGCCGATGGTAGATTCGAAGACGCAGCCAAGGCAAGAAAGTTGCTTAGAGACAGAGGGGAGAAGAAGGAAACAGGGCTGAGTTGGGTTGAAGAAAGGAACAAAGTTCATACATTTGCAGCTGGAGAGAGACGTCACGAGAAGAGCGATGAGATCTATGAGAAGCTTGCTGAGGTAGGGGTAGAGATGGAGAAAGCGGGTTACGTTGCGGACACGAGCTTTGTACTGAGGGAAGTTGATGGAGACGAGAAGAATCAGACCATAAGGTACCATAGCGAGAGATTGGCTATTGCTTTTGGACTGATCACGTTTCCGGGTGATAGGCCGATCCGTGTGATCAAGAACCTGCGCGTGTGCGGCGATTGCCATAACGCGATCAAGTTCATGTCCGTGTGTACGGGACGAGTGATTATCGTGAGAGATAACAAAAGGTTTCATCGGTTCGAAGATGGCAAGTGTTCTTGTAATGACTATTGGTGAAAGGCGAAATGAGAGTAACGTGGGTTTATTATTCAAACGTGACGGCTACTTCTTCATCATTTGTAAGATTCAAATTTTTTGAAACATGTTATTATCTTGCACTAGTTAAAGAATTAATATATATTTATCTTTTTATATTTACTTAAACTGAAGTAAACAATTAACTTTAGTTGAGTTCTATAATTTCAATCCATTTTTTTTTTTTAATAATGTATATTGGAAATTTTTTTAACCCGAAAATGGATTTGTCTGGTACAGACGACTTGGTTTGAAAGAAACGGGAAAACAAGAAGGAACTTTCTGGAATCCGTTGCTCACAAAAACGCCGTGGGTCCCGCAAAAACGGTTTCATTCGAGGATGTGGTGGGATGCAGCTAAAACGACGGCGTTTACTGGAATAATCCAGAATCCACTGGTTTTCTCACCCATTCAAAAGAAGAGACTAGAACTTATATTCATCTCTTATAAATATGCACATTGTTCTTTCCTCTTTCCGTGTCTAAGATCAAATCAACAATCTTCTCGAAAAAGCTCTCTTAAATTCTCGATTCGTCTTCCAATTTTCTCTACTACTCTCTTCGTTTCTCGTTTGCGTTGGAATAGAAATCGTTGCGATGGCGGAAGTTCAGATGGCTGATGCGGAGACTTTTGCCTTCCAGGCCGAGATTAACCAGCTTCTTAGCTTGATCATCAACACTTTCTACAGCAACAAAGAGATTTTCCTCCGTGAGCTCATCAGTAACTCTTCTGATGTATGTTTTCTTAGATCCCTCCTCTGCTTTGTATTTTCCTGCATGTTGATTGTTGCTTCTTCTGTGTTTCCTGGAATTTCGATTCGCTGAAGATGTTTGGTTAGGTTTAATTTTCGAATCTGAATCAGCTGAATGTGCGTTAGAAATCCTGATAAGACTTGTGTGTCAAGCTAGTTTACGATACTGTAGCCTCTATTCGTCTCTCGATCTTGAGATGCATGGACTAATTCGTCACAAGATCCGTGTATACGTAGTTAAAGTTGTTGTAGCTTTGAAGCAGTGTTTGATTTATTACGTTTTAGATTATCGCGAGGACCGTAGTTTCTGGTGGATAGATCCTTAGATCGTTGATTATTCAGTAAAGATTGTTGCGTTATTGAGGAAATGTTTTGATTGTGCTTATGAACATCGATGTTTTTTAATACAGGCTCTTGACAAGATTCGATTTGAGAGCTTGACCGATAAGAGCAAGCTTGATGGACAGCCTGAGCTCTTCATCAGGTTGGTGCCAGACAAGGCGAACAAGACGCTCTCGATTATCGACAGTGGCATTGGGATGACCAAAGCAGGTAAACGCATCTATCTGTGATAATTAATATCTTTTTAGTGTAGTTTTAGTTTTTGTGCCGTTGTTTGACTCTTTACAACCGCACAGATCTGGTGAACAACTTGGGAACCATTGCGAGATCTGGAACCAAGGAGTTTATGGAAGCGCTCCAAGCTGGAGCTGATGTGAGCATGATTGGTCAGTTCGGTGTTGGTTTCTACTCTGCTTATCTTGTTGCAGAGAAGGTTATTGTCACCACAAAGCACAACGATGATGAACAGTACGTGTGGGAGTCTCAAGCTGGTGGTTCCTTCACTGTCACAAGGGATGTTGATGGGGAACAACTCGGTAGAGGAACTAAGATTACTCTCTTCCTCAAGGACGATCAGGTAGTTACTCATCTATAGCCTTAGCGTTCTGTGGTTGATTTGTGCTCTTTGGATGTTCTGTGTGTTCTTATAAGAGTGTTTGTTCTTGCAGCTTGAATATCTGGAAGAGAGGAGACTCAAGGACTTGGTGAAGAAGCACTCGGAGTTCATCAGTTACCCTATTTACCTTTGGACTGAGAAAACCACCGAGAAGGAGATCAGTGACGATGAGGATGAAGATGAATCAGTGAAGGAGACTGAAGGCGAGGTTGAAGAAGTTGATGAGGAGAAAGAGAAGGACGGCAAAAAGAAAAAGAAGATCAAGGAAGTCTCTCACGAGTGGGAACTCATCAACAAGCAGAAACCAATCTGGTTGAGGAAGCCAGAAGAGATCACCAAGGACGAGTATGCTTCTTTCTACAAGAGCTTGTCTAACGACTGGGAGGATCATTTAGCTGTGAAGCATTTCTCAGTGGAGGGTCAGCTCGAGTTCAAAGCCATTCTCTTTGTTCCGAAGAGAGCTCCGTTCGATCTCTTCGACACGAGGAAGAAGCTGAACAACATCAAGCTCTATGTCAGGAGGGTGTTCATAATGGACAACTGCGAAGAGCTAATCCCAGAGTACCTCAGCTTCGTGAAAGGTGTTGTCGACTCTGACGATTTGCCACTCAACATCTCTCGTGAGACTCTCCAGCAGAACAAGATTCTCAAGGTGATCAGGAAGAATCTGGTGAAGAAGTGCATTGAGATGTTCAACGAGATCGCCGAGAACAAAGAAGACTACAACAAATTCTACGAGGCCTTCTCCAAGAACCTCAAATTGGGTATCCATGAAGACAGTCAGAACAGGTCAAAGATCGCTGATCTTCTTAGGTACCACTCCACAAAGAGCGGTGACGAAATGACGAGTTTGAAAGATTACGTCACGAGGATGAAGGAAGGTCAAAAAGACATTTTCTACATCACCGGTGAAAGCAAAAAGGCAGTAGAGAATTCTCCCTTCTTGGAGAAGCTGAGGAAGAGAGGATACGAAGTGCTTTACATGGTGGATGCGATCGATGAATACGCTGTTGGACAGTTGAAGGAATACGACGGCAAGAAACTTGTCTCTGCAACAAAAGAAGGGCTGAAACTTGAAGATGAGACCGAAGAAGAGAAGAAAAAGAAAGAAGAGAAGAAGAAGTCTTTCGAGAATCTCTGCAAGACGATCAAGGACATTCTCGGTGATAAGGTCGAAAAGGTGGTCGTCTCGGACAGGATTGTGGATTCTCCGTGCTGTCTTGTGACTGGTGAGTATGGATGGACTGCGAATATGGAGAGGATTATGAAGGCGCAGGCGCTGAGAGACAGCAGCATGAGTGGCTACATGTCGAGCAAGAAGACGATGGAGATTAACCCCGACAATGGAATCATGGAGGAGTTGAGGAAACGAGCTGAGGTGGACAAGAACGACAAGTCTGTGAAAGATCTGGTGATGTTGCTGTTCGAGACGGCTCTGCTAACGTCTGGATTCAGTCTCGATGAGCCCAACACTTTCGCGGCTAGGATTCACAGGATGTTGAAGTTGGGTCTGAGCATCGATGAAGACGAGAATGTTGAGGAAGATAGTGATATGCCTGCGTTGGAGGAGGATGCTGCTGAAGAAAGCAAGATGGAGGAGGTCGACTAAGAGAAGAAAAAAAGGTCACTCTTTTGGTTCTAATTCGTCCGGTCTTTTATGAGTTTTGAGATTTCCAAAATGTATGTGGTCTTGGTGTCTTTTAGAGTCGTTTGAAGTCTTTTACTGCGTCGTCTCTTTTCGGGCGTCGTTGTTTTCTTTGTTTGTGTCTGTTTAATACTGTTTTTTCAGCCTGTGGCAATCTTTCTAAGGTGAATATTAAGCTTATTAACTTTCTTGCTTCTGCACAAATCTTAGGTGAATATTAAGCTGAGATTTGTTAGTCTTAAGTGACATTCTTGCTTCTGCACAAATCTTATTAACTTCCTCTTTTAGATTAGTCTGTATAGAACTTGTACTTGCGGCTGCTCGTAAACTAAAGCATATCGAAGTTAAATTCCCCTTATAATCAACACAAAACCAATATGTTCCACAACCTAAGCATGACTACTGAAGAACGCAAGACGATTTGATTTACTTTTGCTTATGCACACTAAGAGAGAGGGGGAGAGAAATGGGAAAAAGTAATTTTTTTATATCGAATGTTGCTCCAACAAAAACAAAAGTAAACTGATTTGATTCTGGAATTTTGAATTACACTGAAGCAAAATTTAAAAGCTGAAACATCTTCTTGTTCTTACTGTCAACTAAAAAACCCTCCTCCCTTTTCAAGGTAAACCTGAACCAGATGGTGCAGCCGCGCTGTAACCACCAGCTCCACGGCCAAAACCACGGCCACTTCCCTGCACACGACAGGATACAAAACACAAAAAGATGTTACAACAATGGCAACCAAACAAACAAACAGCAAAATCACGTCACAAGTTACATATAACTAAAGACTTCAGAACAGTTTACTCGTAAGATATTAAATAAAAAGCATGGTGAGTGAGAATTTACTTGGAAAGATGGCTGGAAATCTGCCGGAGCGCCACTCTTTTCACCTCCAAATTCACCACCACGAGGACCTCCACGGTACCCTTCACGGTCACCGAACTTGGGACGGTCTCCTCCTTCAAAACGAGGACCCCTGAAACACCCAAGACACCCCAAAAGCCCAATGTTATAACAAAGCTCTTTTCAAGATATGTATTGAGCTAAGCAGAGGAGTTAAAATCACCTTGGGCGATCACCAGGTGGGCCACCAAAAGGACGACCAAGAGGCTTAGCTGACTTCTTCAACGTAGCTGGAACAACATCAGATGGAAGGTTAAGGTATGTTCTCAAGAACTCAATCCCTTCGTTGGTCAGAAACCAATAGTAATGCATCCATGCGAATGTCTCCCTGACATACTCCTTGGATTTGAAACTCTGCATGAGCTTGATCACTTGCAGGTTGGGTACTGATTCGATCAATGGATGCTTTGCCAGATTGAAATCCTTCTTCGCGAAGCAAACTCCTTCTGCAAAAACCCACAGAAACATCATCATCATCATCAAACACAATCTCATCTGCTAGCAAAACAGCTTTATGTATAACTCATGATACACACTCATGATTCTAAATTAACTATTATAGCTCTAGGAGTGGATTTATTAACCAATCTATTATGGTAGAATGTTATCTAAATCCCGAAATGCGAATTTGAGGGCTTTAACAAGTAAGCAGATTCGGATGTAATACAAAACCTGAACAACTTAATCTAATCTCTAAAATCAAAATGTTCGTCACAACGTCTTAAATCACTCGCAGAAGGCGAAGCAGTCAAGCGTATTACTGATAGAAACATCTAAGCAACAGAGAGAAAAGGTATTAATTTTCACGAAACACGAACCTTTGAAAAGGTACTTGCAGATTTCTCTGCGGTTTTCCTCTGTCATAATCTGGCATTAGAAGGAAGAAAGAAAATGGTTAAAATTCACAGAACAAAGATCAGACGCAAATCCAAAATATGATGAGAACAGATCGATAGATTCAAAAAGCAGGTCTCATGTTTTACCATTGTCTCGGTGGGAGAGTTTCCTGGAGCAGAGACGCACGAAAATTCGAGAGAGTATATGAAAACTAGGGTTTTTCAGGATCTGAGAAGACGATGAATTTATACGCTGTAGTTTTGGGCTTATAATGGGCTGTAAATTTATAAGATATGGGCCTTTCTTGGTATAATGTATACAAACCCTGCTCAAGCATTGAGCGCATCCACATATTTGCTTTGCACCTTGAATTTTCTTTTAGAATAGCTTTTAAGTCAATACTCAATATTAGTGTTTTTCTTCGTAATCGAGTCATAATTCATACTGTTAAGATAGGTCGTAAGAGATTTGGTCTCATCCATCGGAGAGACAGGTACATGTTGAAACAAAAGCTCAAAAAACAAATTAGACAGAAGACAAAATGGTATTTTAACTTAAGATAATAAACTGTACATATACCAAAAGACGTATATATAGAACAACAAAACTAAACCGCTCAAATTTCAAGCTTCATCTTCTTCATCGTATGTACAAACAAAAACCCACAACAGAATCTCCTTCTTCTGTAACCAATCTGGGTTTTTACCACCTGAGACACTTTCATAAATCTTCTCATCATCTTTTTTGACTTCAAGTAGAGATTTCAGGTGGATCTTTGTTTAAGTTTGTACTCACTCCACCATGATCAGTTGCTGTCTCAGAGCCGATATCGTAAGACGAAAGAAGCCGTCTCTGTTGTTTCAAAAGAGTGTTAAGGTTAGTTCTGAAACAGGGTTTCTAGTTAAAGACTGTCCAAGAAGTTGTGAAGATATACTTACATGATCCTCAAAATCAGGACTAGACAAGTTGATTGATAGATTTCTCATCAATAGTAGCACCTGCTTGGTGATGGCAAACAAAGGAAACAACGAATCAAGTTTTTGATCATTTGTTGCATTCGACCGATATGGTTTCAATGTAAAACTGAAAAAGACAAAGAAACGTACTGTTTCCACATCTATGGGGTCCATCTTCTTCAGCTTTTGTAGATGGTTACTCGCATATGGGTCAAAAACGCTTCCAATGAAGCTGTATACTTGAGCAAAGTCCGGTAAAACTGTACACAAAGAAGAGGGAGTTGTTTAGTAAAAAATGGTGAACATTAAAAAGATAAATCAGAGACGATGTAATCATGCTTACCTCTTAATGAATTGCCAACATTCCCCTGCTCGTTTGTGTCCCTGTTGGATCGTGGTCTTGGAGTATTTTCAGAGCTACTCGAACAGTTGTTATTCGCTCCTGCTCCTGCTGTTTACATCAGAACATTGAAGAACAATATGCTTCATTTAGTAAAATTTGAAAAGGAGATTATACCAAGAGAGTATTAGTGATTGCTTGTAGATGAGAATAAAACCTTTTGGGAGGGGTGTGAAGCTAATTGTTTGCACATTATTCGTCCATGGAGCCGCCGCAGCAGCAGTGGTTGGAGAAGTCATCAGCATTGAAGAAGACTCGGGCCTAAACATATAACTTGTGTCATTCGCTTCAGGTGTTGTAGATTTGAAGGACCCTGATACTTGAGGTTGAACTGCATATTGCCATAAAGAAATGCATCAATATAGTTTTTCAGCAAGCAAGCAACATTAGAACTCAATTTTTTTTTGTATGGCAGAAGCTAATACATACCGTTCTTGTTAGCCTTCTGAGGATATGGATGAGCAGCTTTCCTTTTAGGTCGAGGGGGAGGGAGATGTTCTCCTGTCCCACTCTTTTGTACTTTAAGAAAATACTTCTGAGCATGACTTCTTATCTGCGATATCAACAGAGTTCCGTATAAGAAACCACAATAGAGTTTAACAAAGCGCGCTTCTCTAATGCAAGAGAATCTTAAAAGATCACGTTTCATTAAATCTCAGTGCAATCAGCGACAAAAGCAAGTGCCACACTTGCTCCTAACATAGTTCAGAACAGTTTTGAGACAATAAAGTTATTATAACGGAAAACTTTGTGAAGATATCAAAGGAGAGAAAACAACCCCAATCCAATGTAACACTGAGGGCCCCAAGAGAAAGATGACAGAGAGGGCAAAAAACTATAGTAGGCGGAAAAAAAAAGTAGCTTGGAAGATAATATCTCTTTTTACTGCACCTGAATCACTGTCTTTGACCCAATAAAAGCTTCAATCTTCTTCCAGTCTCTGTCAAACCTAAAAATGATAAGACACAAGCATAAGAGATATCAGATCAAATACCAAACAACCTAAATATAGGGATGTGTCTAATTCTCATATAAGACTGTACTACACACACAGACGGATATAAAATGAACAGTACCATCATCAAATCTTGAAGATAAAACAGTTCATAGTCTTCACTAGAACTAACCCAAGATCCTTGCCACTATGTAACCAACCTTTAGTACCCTTACCAGTGTTTATAGACAATTTGAACGAGGAAAAAACGCATCTCAACTCTTCAGTGAACTCTCTTTACTAGCATACAAATGATTTCCATCACTGCTTCCTCAAAAATCATAATAGGCTCATGAATGTCTCGCATGTTTCGTGGTTCACTATTGATGATCATATACATCATAGGTCATCCAATTTCAAATAGCTAACACACATTTATAAGACAGCCATTCTCATGTTTTCACGTTCTGACCTTCTCAAATGTCTATGAGAGGCCTGATTCAACCGCCTGCCCTAATCCTTATCCAACCCTCAATTCCATTTTCATTTTCATTTCCATTTCACTGGTCAGCACATCACATTCAGAATCTATTGAAACATAAAAAGCGTATAACCCCAAAACCAACTCAACGCGTGTTCACGGGATTTAAAAACCAACGCAAGAATTAAGAAACCCTAATTTCAGTGAAATTGCGGCTAATCCTCGCCGAAATCAAAGCTCCAAAATGGTAAATTGCAAAGGAAATGTAGAAACTGGTGAGCTCAAATGATTGATAAACTCACAGCTGAAGAGCCTCGAGGAATTTGTCGTGCTCAGGTTCCGTCCAGCTCTCCCTCGACTTGGTAATGGTATAAGGCTTCCTAATCTTCTTGCTGAGATCCTCCGAAGAAGAAACCGTCGCCGTCGCATCCGCCACAGCCACAGCCGTGGAAGAAGTCGTTGGCGAGGAGGATACGGCGGCAGTGAAGGTTCCAATTGCAGGAACGGTCATACCGTTCGGATCCAAGAAATATCCGTCTGCTGGATTCGGATTTCTAGAGACCATGAAAATTTGAGAGACGAGAATTTGCGGAGAAATTTTTTTTTTTTTTTTTTTTTTTGCTCTGTCGCGTTTTTTTTTTCTTCTTCTACTTTTGTTCGTTGAAAGCTGTGCAGAGAGAGAAATGTGGAAGAAGACGGCAGAGAGATATATATATGTATAGAATATATATACATATGTAAAGACGCATATGTGTCTCACAATGAAACTCTTGTGATCGTATGAGGTCGGTCACTTTGCCGACTGGTGTAGCCTTAAAGACCTTATTATAACGTGCCACGTGTTTGGAAACTATCGTTTCCTTTGAAAATAAAGTTTTTTTCCCCTTTATGTTTTGCACTCAGTTTATACCAAAAGAAGCAAAAAGTCTTTAAGAACAAAAAAAGATTGAATACTAATTTTACATAATTACAAAATCAAACAACAGCGTATTTTTTTTTTATTATTTTTGGTCAATTCAATCAACAGAGTGTATTAATTCCTCAGTTCCATAATAATAAAAGATTATTTGCGAATCAATGAAACGACTAGAGTTACAGTCGTTTTGATATTGCAGCTAGTGTGTTGAGAGACATGATGTGCATACTTGCTGAACAATGTATCGATGTTAATGGAATCTCCAAAGTGAGCGACGAGCATTGTTTCAGTCACTGCTCTTATACAACCAGCTTCTTTGTGTCCTCTAAGTGATTGTAAGCTACAATCCTCGTTACTATGTCCAAGATCAAATCCATGTGTCTCCACGTCGTTTATTTGGAAAGATCCTTCTTTCCTTATTATCTCCTTCAGTTCTTCTTCGTTCGGATCATAAAAAGGGATCTTGAACGAATTCACTTTCGATGCACTCAAATGACCCTATAAAACAAATTATATATCACGACCAACGTTGGTCCAACTAAAATGGTGGTCTAAAGCAAAAAAGAATTTTAATCTCTTTATATTTAATATTTAGATAACAATAAGTTAAAAACATAAGTTTATCAAATAATCTATATATTTTTGTATATCTAATCCAAAACTTCTTATTTTTAATTATTGTTTGCTATATTTGTGATCCAATAAATATAATTTTCAGTTCAAAAATTAATTAAAAAATTGATGGTCCTAAACCATAGCTTAATCCGTCTATCTTTTGGGCCGTGCCTGAGATTCGCGACACATACATGAGAGCATATTCATAATGTCAACAATATATGGATCTTTAGTGTTTTGATACCTCCAAGACTAAGTCGCAGAGAGAGTTGGATAACAATGTCCAACAATGACAACAATCCCTAAACAATGGATCATCAAGAGTGTTTCTGCCCATTACTGTGAGAACCATACGTCCATTAGATACCATTTCTTGAGAGCGCATTCTCAAAAAAGTCGTGAAATCTCTTTGGAATTGATTTAAGTAAGCCGTATATTCACTTAGAGGGCTTGAAGTTGTTATGTACACACTCATGTTGTTCTTCTCCAATCCATCCGGAACCTTACAAGTCCAAAACTTCCATTGTTATTATATATAAGGAAGTTTTATTAAGTGTCTATAATAAGTGGAAAGTTATAATCAACAAAAGTACTTATAAGGACCTTAGAGAGGAAATGAATACTGTAGACTGAATGTACGAGATGGAGAGACTTGCGAGGGAATAGTCTTGAGTAAAAGGAACCAGGGACTCCAGATATGAAGCACGATCCGACGTCGCTTCTGAGCTTGTTCTTGAAGAGAGTTATGAACTTGAAAGCTGTGTTGAAATCGTTATTAGGGAGATCGTTCAAACAACAATCTATCTCTGGCTGTTTTTGGTTCCGTTCTTGACATAGCAAATTGATTGTGTTGACGATCTCGGACATCACTAGAAACGTGTTTTGTCCCGAAGAACAGCCCAAATCGGCTACTTTGATAGATTCAGGAAAGTTCAAGTTTGTCAACATTTCCTTTGTGTTTTTAACCAAGATCGGCTTGGTCATTGACAAAACTCTTCTCTGAAATTAACCAAGAAAGACAAAGAAATCAAGAAATTGTTTCATTTGGAACTTCTTAATATTATTTTATCAAAGCAAAAAAAAAAAAACCCTTTTTAACGCGATTAAGTATTAACGTAGTGAGTTCTTTTGGAGCCTCTAACCAACTATTTATAAATGTGTTTCTTATAGTTTACCAAACAAAAAAGTAAATATTTGTATATAGAAGATGAAAGAACCGTAATAAGAGAGTTCGCGGAGTAACTCTTGTCTCCATCTCCACCATTCATACACAAAGCACTCACAAAAGGATATTTACAACCACTCTCTTCATCGCCATGGTTTTCACTCTTATCATCACACCTGCCTCACACACATATATTATATATATATATATTCATACATCTATGTCGAATAAATTAATATACATATATGGTTTGAAGATTGGAGAGAAAAAAACCTCGAGGTAGGACTGCTGTAGATGAATCTTGAATCCATTTCTCAAGATTAAAAACGATAACTATTAGACCTTATGCTTTGTTAAGGAGGCTGCAACCTCAGCACACTATATTTATAGTGGTAGAAGCTTGATGGCATATCTCAAACGTGAGACATAGTACTGGAACTAAAATTAAAGTCTTGTTTTAAAAAATGTTGTGGACCTGTGATGAATAGTAGCGAACTTGTCTTTCATTCGTTATGTGTTTTGTCCCAAATGGGTCCGTGCCACAAAATTCACAAATGTATCTTTTCTCTGCCGTCTGTGTTTCTAACTAAGATTTGTTCTTATCAAGAATAGGAACTACTCATGTGGTGTATAAATATGTTAACATTTAAATGAATTTAAATTCCCTGTCATTGTACTGATTCAGTCTTTAAATTAAGTGGCTGGATATGAGTATTTCCTGTTCATGATAGGAACAAATCGAAATAAGATATTATTGACATACATCCTAATTCTAATACCCCATCTTAAGTGAGTGGTGCAAAAATTTGAACACCTAACTTAGACAATAATTAATCAAAAACCGGTCCCTGTAACACTTTGATGGTATGAAGATATCTCCATCCTTCTTGGTCGATATGTGTTCATTATTGATGAGCCGACTTTGAACCACATCTCTTGCTTGATGAGTGATGACAATATGCTTTAATATGCGAAGGCGATCTTTTAGGCTTTTAGCCCTTTGAGTTTTCAAAGCATGCATGACATATGACGATATAAATTTACCTTAATTTCACAGATTTCCAATTGGCAAAAGGAGGATACATATTGTTTCAATGAGCCACGAATTTTTCCGAAAATGTTTTCACAAATACAGTTTGTCAGATCGATGTATAAAATACCATTTGTTCTTTAATCTATTCTTGGCAATTCTTTTCATTTTTTCACCTCCCTTCAGTCTTTTCTTGAATCCATTCTAGCGATTTATTATGCATAACAACTCAACGTTTGTATCCTTCTTGTGTAGTTAACTAGAACAAATTGGATATTTAATTTCCCACGTTGGTTGTGAAGTTGTTTATTATATTCTCCTCAGGGGGGTTGGTTTAATCGCTCTTATATTTGACGAAATAAAGACAGAAAACGTCACACATCTATATTATAACACGGTGTTAGTTAAAGCTACTAAATTACTAAACTAAAGAGGAGCAGCCACACATTCTTATAACAATCTTTTATATAGAAAGACTCGGACTGTTTATCTTCCACCTGATCTAGTCTTATTGAATTGACTACAAATTTCTTATTCTAGCTCCGATGGCTTGACCTAATTGTTAATATATTCACTAGCAAAAGCCAAAAGACAATATATATACGGGGAACTAAAGGTTTTTATGAGCAATCCACGAGGTTGAAATCACATTCTTATACATAATACATCGCCTCTCTCTTTAATCGCCAAACTTTATAATTTTCCGAAAATGCAGGTTCGTATGTTCTTTTTTATGCTTTATTGAAAATTTTAAATTAGTTGCAGAAACAAAATCAAAATTCCTTCAGGCTTAATTTTATTCCCGACAGGATTATAGGAAGCATATATATATATATATATATATTATGAAATTTTATTAGTGTTTTGCTTAAATATACAAATGATCTAGTAGTATAAAGTTATAAGTTTAAGTTTATATAAATCTTTGCAGCAAAAAGTTGTATTCAAGTTGGAAGTTTTCGAGGAAAGAGTCAAATAGAGAGCTATGAAAGCTGTATGTGAGTTTCCACGTATAGCAACATGTACAAATCCGGTTTGTGTCTAAGTACTTTAATCTATTTTGGACAATACCAAGAAGTAATATTTTGTTGTTGTTAGGAGTTACTTTGATAGACGTGAAGGAACATGGTAAATGGTAAACTAAAGGTGACGGGAGAGTTTGATAAGTATCAAATGACGAAGAAACTGAAGAAGATATATGAATATGTTGACATTATCGCACTTGAACAAGATGGAGAATCGAAGGAAAAACCGATTCCGGTTAAGAAGCCTGAACCAATAGTGAAGAAGACCTCATCTTTCCGTCGTTGGAAGATAGGTTTCTTTTAAAGGAATCGAGTTGAGGTCGTGATTGGCTCGAGTTATATGGACCACTGTATTGTAATGATATTTCATCTCATTTTCTGAAAAAAATTGTTTGTCCGTTGTTTGTAATAATCATGTTGTGTTTTATTATTCATATTGGCATGCATGCATGCTGTTATCTTTTTGCCAACGTTAGGGTTTTGCCATCCGATTAATAATTGGTCATCTATATATTGTCTTAGTTAAGTGATACTGTCTCGATGATCGCATCTCATGAACAAAACCTTCCTCTTATCAATCTATATGAGTCATGAAACTTATAAAGTAAACGAATGTAAATTTATTTAAATAACCAAGCGGCCTATTTTTTTTTCTTTAGTTTTGCGGTTTTCTAAAACTCAGAAGCGTCTTTGATGGAACGAAACAAGAGGCAAAACAAACTGTTTTTAAGTCACTACAGCTAGAAAAGTGTACTTAATATTTTATAATTAAAAAATATATAAATAGAGAATACATCACTTGCAAACAAAATCACCAAGTTGGACTTACATGCATATTGCAACTTCTATGATGTTATAAGGTCTCAAAACCTTGCCTTTTACAAATTTTGAATATATGCAGGGTTGCAAATATGAAATAGCACTGTAAATGTTATGGCAAGACAAGCTAGATTGAAAAACAATTATGTAATGGTTTTTTATTTCATCAACCTCAAAATCTGTTGCTGACTAAAATCACCTAAGATTAAAATGAACATCTGCACATGATTTATCTAATACAACAATTGTTCCAAGTGTCGAGTTTTCTTAAACTATTTATTTTAATACTAGCTATTTGAAAATATGGGTTATTTATTGATCGAGAAAAAAAATGATAATTCAGATTGTTTTTTTTTATTTGTTTGAGCAACTATAATCCAGATTGTTAAAAAAAGCTTGTCAGTTTATACATAATTATAGGAGATAGCCCTCACTATACCGTATCTACTATAGCTAGTTCATCTTGTAGACTTGTAGTCCGTTTGATCTGCTTGTAGTCCATCTTCTTGTTGTAACAATTCGAACCCATCATTGGGTCGTCATAATTGTATTTTGAACAGGAAACGATTTTGCTACAGGCAATAAAATTCATCAAGCCATTTAATTTTCCTAGGCCATCCTTTTGCACATACCTTTCAATTTTCTCTTGGACTATCTGTCAAAGAAAATATATAGATCCTGAATTTGATGTTATTAATTTGAATATTACATTGACCAGGTTCGTAGAAACTGTGAGGTTCTTTCTTATATGCACATCTTAACTTAGTTGTTCTTATATTATATCGAGAGACAGACAACAAAAATATCGCATATATTATAAGTATAACACGGTAGTAGTTGAAGCGACTAAAGTAAACGACCCAAATTGTTTTTATTCGTCTAGTTTCAGTCGTACGAAATTGATTAATTCACTTTCCAGCTCTGATGGCTTGACCTAATCGTTATTATATTCATAGCTAAATAATTATTATTGTATAAATACACTGGGAAGCAAAGGTTTATCAGCATTCAGCAAGATACAAGATCAATCATATTCCTCTACGTTATATTCACTCTCTCCAATCGTTTTAAACTTTCCGGAAATGCAGGTTCGTCTTTTCTTTTTTTCCAGAATAGTTTTTATTTTTAAGAATTCAAAATTTCATAATATTTTATACAGAAGAAATTTCTGCAGAATTAGTACAAGCATATATATTTAATAAAGCTATTGCTCATTCAATAAACTGCTAATTTTGCAGGAGGTGGTTGTATTCAAGTTGGACGTTCTTGATGACAAAATCAAACAGAAAGCTATAAAAGTTGTCTCCGAGTTTTCAGGTACACCAACACAGATCTGTTCAGTTTAGTTACTAAACTAAATAAATCGATCAATGATGGCAGGATATTCCGTTTATATACAGATCATATAATAAATTTATCTATTTTGGCTTTATGTACTTGTATTTTTTAATTAGCAATAATGTTTGTTGTTGTTAGGGGTCACTTCGGTAGACGTCAAAGAAAAAGGTAAACTAAAGGTAACGGGTAGATTTGATAAGTTTGTAATGACGAAGAAACTAAAGAAAATATATCAATATGTTGACATAATCGGGGTTGGACCGGATGGAAAACCGGAGCAAAATCGCATTCCGGTTAAGAAGCCTGTACCGAAAGTAAATAAGCCTCTTCACCCAAAAAAGGTGACTAGGCCTACGACAACAAACCCTCGTCAGAAGACAAGTCAAGCCCAAAACTCGGATGCTTCTTGTATCATCATGTGAACCCGAGATTTTGGGGAGCTTATTAGATCATGGTTTTGAATGATTTGAATTTATTTTGAATGATTTGATATTTGGTTGGATTTTGATAGAATTTGTAGATATTGTGTGATTTCTAATATATATTTTTCAAGTAATTAAAAAATCTGAATTAAGATTTGAAAAGACTTTTAAGATATATTTCAGTTAATTTTGTATAAAAATGAAAAAATATTCAAATCCAGAACTGTGCTGAAAAAGATCAACATAACTATGGTACCTAGCCTTCAATATCTTCATTTTATTCTTGTAGTGGCTATAGTTTTTCTCAGAACCAAGCTTCTGGTTTAAAACCGATAATGTTTTTTCTCTATTGTTAGCTTGTTAAAGGAACCATTTGCGTCACGCCAACCTCGTTTAATAGTATCCACCAATAACCGGAGCAACATATTGTGTTATGGTTCAGACCAATGACTATATTGACCTTTTTTAGATTCATGTCCATCTCCTATCGTAAATGAACTATACAAACAAAAAAAACAAACAAACAAATGAGAAATTCAAATTGAACGAACAAGATGATAAAGAGGACACAAGGTAATATACCAAGTCGTCGAGTTTCATGTACAAAGATGATCTGAATTGCTGCATATATATTAACGTATCTAAACTTAATTACTCCAACAAAAAAATGAGATAAGTTTGAATTTTTTTTAAAACAAATCTCTTGAAATTATCATCTTTGTAGGTGAGATTTGTTAATTTGGTTATATAACTAAAAACTTGTAATCAAATATTTAGAAATCTTTTCAGATTTAATTTGTTTTAATATTGAAAATGATCCAATAACCCCAGATTTTTTATGATTTTGGTGATTTATCAAATGAATAACCATGGATTGTGAATTATTTTGAATTAGTTGAGAAGAATTCTATATCCAATAATCTGAGACTTTAAAAGATATTTAAGAATTCTAGATCCAATAACAGTAGATTTTAGAAAAAAAACTAATGTCGTCCAAAAATCAAGATCCAATAAGCCCCCCTTTGTCTTCGAAAACAAAGTCTGTCTTCTTATTTGTAATAAGTTTTTTTTTTTAATCTAAAAACAATTTCTAGTCCAGAGAAATTCAAATATGATATCAAGAAAGAGATGGTCAACTGACAACTCGGGACGATGCCTACCAAATCTAACCCATTTTAATAAGTTATGAAAAACCATAATAAGCGAGTTGTACTTTTGATCAAGAAAAATGACGAGAATTTATATCAAATATCATTTTGAATTCATGAATAAAAAACCAAGAGTTGAGTTCATGCCTTATATTAACTTTCATATTGTTTTATGGACAACTTATTTTTTTTTTAAAGTAAAGTAAATCCTTTAAATATTTGTAATTTTCGATTGGAGAAATCAACTTTTACCGAACCTTTTAGTCAATTTTGTTTGTAAAAGTGACTTTCCTTTGATTTTTTTTTTGAACATTGTGATTTTTTGTGTCATATCCTTGATTTTTTTATACGTGTGTTCACCGATTATCAAACGATTCATTCATCCGTTTTACTACTGTCATTTTGTCAACATTCGTAACCTGGCTGTGAGAGTATTGGATATTAATTAAACTATAGCTAAAGTTTTTGCTATGCTAGTTTTGTAAACTAGAGGTTTTCATCTCCAATGTTCAAAATTCTGTAGTAAGCGAATAGATCGTAGGTTTTTGACCTACTCAAAATTCGCTTCTTTTAAAAAATGTCGTGGACCTGTGATGAATAGTAGCGAATGTTGTCTTTCATTCGTTATGTGTTTTTGTCCCAAATGGGTCTGATACCTTATAATATACATAATAATGATAAATAACGTACAAAAATAAATATTTATTGTTGTTGGTGAAATGTTTGGATAAACAAAAATTATATATGCGCTTTAACACGTAAAGTAGAGCAAACACATTAATTAAAGAAACATAGTGTGATTGTACAATCTGAACAAGTTTGTTGGCAAACATTGTCGTCGTTACAAATATGGATTGTGATATCATTGTCATGTCTTGTTCTTTTTCCCGATGTTCTAGCTACTGATAAACCTATATTAATTTTATCTATATCACATCTAGTTTGAATGCATACCAATACCATCAATATTGTGTGTTGGTATTCAAAAATGGACCAGCCTGTATACATAATAAACTCCTTCTCTGTAGTAGATGATATTTTGTCTTGTTTAGAATTACTAAGAATTCTTCTATCATAAATTTTTACACAAAGAAATCCGTAATATACTAATCAATTAAAGTATATGGGTATCAATTAAAAATTTATCATTTAAATAAAAACACACAGACACAGAGACACAAGTGCGAGAAGAAATACGCTGCTCGCTTGAAATAGCATGTGATGTATTTAAAAAGTTGAAATATGGACTCACATGAAAGAGACAACAAAAGCGTGAGAAGAAATACGCTGCTCGCTTCCATTTTCTCCATTGTGATAATTTCGAGTCCTTTTTTTTTTAAGGTGTAAAGATGACTTCTCCTTTTTAGTTATTGGACAAAGATGCAACGATAAGTCACTGTGTTTTATACACAAAAAATTTCCAAAGGCATGTTTAAATGGAGAATTTCATTAAAGCACTACCCAAATTTAGATGATCGATTTTAATTAAAAAAATCTCAATTCTGGAAAAAATCTTGGTTTCACCAGCTTGATAATAAACTCAGATATTTGAATCAACATCATGAATTTGTTTACATATATGTATAATCTTAGAAATTGATGTGGATATTTATCAGTTAGATTTGATATGTTAACAGAGTAAATTTGATTATATGATGCATATTTTGTATTAGTCCCGAAAGTTATTTGGAAAAAGGGATCACAAGTTAGAATTTTAGGATAATATGTGATGAATGTGAACTGCTTTAGTCTGTGTAGTACATTCATTTGTCCGTAAGAATTAAGAACTAACTAGGTATTTACCTGCGCTACGCTGCAGGATATTTTTATAGATTTGTATATATTTTTAATATAATAAAATTATTTATATATTTTAAATGAGTATTATATTTATTTTTTATTAGCTTAAGTTATGTATTTATATGTTTTAAATCTGAATAAATATTATATATCATTAATTTTTTTATTTTTAAAAATTATAATCTACTATCAAATTTGTTTAGCTAACTATCTATAAATGTATATGTAAGAATAAAACAATACATTTTTAAGTACCTTCAAGCTAATGGTAGATGTAATTTATTTTCTCTACTAAATTGCTACTTGATCCTCCTTTGAAATTATATAAAGCAAATTGCCATTTAAAAAAATATTAATTAATATGATTATTTTAAATTATAAAATTTATTTATTTATCAAATATTTATTATAGACATATGTTTCTAAAACTACCAAACTATAATCAATAACATTCATATCAAAATCATTACTATTACTTTAGAACTAAATAGAAAGTTCTATTTGAAGTGTTGAAATATCAATTTAGTTGAAGTTAAATAATTCAATTTTGGTTACTATAAATATATTATAACTTAAAAATTTAGCACAGAGAAATTTTATCTTTTTACAAAAACCGAGAAATTGCATTTTTCGACAAAACAAAAAAAAATTATTTCCCACGAAACTGAGAAATCGTCTATTCCCGCCAAAACAAAAAAAAATTCATTTTCTCGTCAAACTTGAAATTTCATTTTCCTATCAAAACAAAGAAATTGCATTTTCTCTCAAAAACCAAAAATAATATTTTCTCGCGAGAACCTGTGTTTTTCTGTCAAAACAGAGAAATCAAGTTTTTTCACCAAAACCAAAAAATTTCATCTTCGTGCAAAAACAAAAAATAGTATTCTTCCGTCAAAACCAAAAATTATTTTCCCGCAAAAATCGAGAAGTCGTCTATTCCCACCAAAACAAGAAAAAATTATTTTTCTCGTCAAATCAAGAATCACGCCTCCCTACCAAAACCGGTAAACTACAATTTTTGGCAAAAACCAAAAATTGCATTATCTCCTGAGAAATTGTGTTTCCCATGAAAACTAAGAAATCATATTTTCCCTCGAAAACCAAAAATCAAATTATATATCAAAAACTGAAAATTTGCATTTTCCATCAAAACCAAGAAATTGTTTATTCCCGCCAAAATCGAGAAATTTTGCTTTTCTATCAACTCGAAAAATTGCATTTTCTGCCAAAATTGTCAAATTACAATTTTTCTCAAAAATCAAGAAATTACATTATCCATCAAAAGCCGAAAAATTGCATTTTCTATCAAAACCGATAAATCATATTTTTCGTCAAAATTGAAAAGTTGCATTTCCCTCGCATTTTTTCGTCAAAATCAAATTTTTTATTTCTCACTCAAACCAAAAATTCACATTTTGCCGCCAAACCCGAGAATTTGTTTTTTCCGTCATAACCGAGAAACTATGTTTTCCTACCAAAACTGAAAATCACATTTTTCTACCAAAACCAAGAAATTCTCTATTTCCGCCAAACCCAAAAAAATTTGTTCTCGGTAACCAGTGGAAATGCGAATCTCCAAGATGTGGTGGTCTGAGTTTCTCCTCATTTGCTTTCGCTTTCCATTTTTTTTTGTAAACTTTGGGTTTTTAATGGGTCAGCAAAATAGTAAATTGATTTTATTAGTGTGTTAATAATATGTATTATTGTTATGTTTTTATTGGTTCAAATTTTTGCTGATGTGTGAGCTTCTTATAACATAACGCTTTTTGCATTGTTGTGATGGAAGCATAGTTGATGATGAGTCTACACTTTCTTCAATTATATACGTCTTTATCAAGCAAACACATAGTTAGAAATTTTAATTTTTTTTGCTGTTATTTATTATTTGAGCTTCGGGTTGGCAAAAATATAAAACAAAGATTTAATTTTATTATTTGTTGTTATTTATTATTTGGATTTGTTTAAAAAATAAAACAAATTTTTTTTATATGCTGTTATTTATTATTTGGGCTTGGGCTTGACCAAAAAATAAAACTAAAATTAACAATAAAAAATATTTGAGTTTTTAATGGGTTTAAATTTAAAAGTTAAAATAAATTGATGACTTGTATTAATGAAATATTTTTATTGG